TTATATATAAAATATTAATTATTATAATAGCTAGTTTAACTAAGTAAGTTATAAAGTATAGTTTTAATAATATTAATTTAAACTTTATTAAACTTTTTATTTTTATAAGTAGATTTTTTAAAATTATTAGGTTTTTTATATTTACTTTAGCAGTCCTTTTCCTTATAGCCTATTTTACTATAGTAGTTATATTTACTTATAAACTTATAAGTATTAATAATATCTAGATTTATTAATCCTGGTTTTTTATTATTTAATAAGGCTAAGTTACGTTTCTTACTTTAATTAGTATAATATTAAAGGTAGTAGTATATTTTATTATTTCCTCTTTTTTTAGTTTACTTTTCTTTTTATTATTTAAATTATTAGTTATTAATATAACTAGCTTTTTTAAAAAGTACTTTAAATATAGCCGGAAGATTATTTTATATTAATTTATCTTTTACTTTTAATTTTAGTCCTTAGTAATATAATATCTTTTTAGCTATATTTTTAAGGTTTATTTTAATATAAATTTAAATAAACTTAGTAGTATATTTAATATATATACTTTATTATTAAAGTTTTAGTAGTATATTTTCTACTTCCTTTTTTTTATTAATTTAGCTAAATAATACTTTAAGTTAATTTTTAAATTTTTAATATTTATTAAAAAGTATATTAGTAGTAGTCTTTTTTTTAGCTTAGTTATATTACTTAAAGTCTTAAAGGTATAGTTTAAACTAATTCTTAAGTCCTTTAATAAATTAGCTTTTTATAATACTAACTTATTATTTTAGCGGGGCTATAGTAGTTAAAAAGTACCTAAAATAGGACCCTATATTTATAAAAAATCCCTTAATCTTTTATAAATCCTTATTAAATAGTATTAGTAAAGGTAGCTTAATAATTTTACCTAGTTCCTTTTTATAAAGACCTCCTTACTAACCTTAAGCTGTAGGTAGTTACCTTTATTATTATTATTAAGCATTAAGTTATTTATTAAGTATATTAATAGTATTTTATTAGTTTTTAATAATTTATTTTATATAAGTAACTAAAGCTTTAAAGTTTAAGAAGTACTATTATACTTTAGTATTATTAACTAGTAGTAGTTAAGGAGTTATAATTTCTTTTATATTAAGATTTATTATTTTAGTAGTTTTTTTAAATAAGTCCGAAATTTTAATATTACTTCTATATATATTTTAGACTTTACTTTTTTAATTTATTCCTTTGTTTAGTATATAAAATTTAACTATTTAATATCCTTATAGTAATATTACCTATAGTCTAAGGTAACCTTTAAATAAAAGTTATAATTATATAATAAGCTAAGCTTTTATAGTATTAATATAAGAGGGATTCTTAAGGGATAAACCTTATATTAGGTTTATATTAGTAGATAAGCTAGGCTAGATTAGTAAATAATTAATAAAAATAAAAGGGGTTTATTTATATAATTAATAAATAATATTTGTAACGAACCGGTACCTATAGGCACTATAGGTTAGCTGTTTCCAAGGGACAAACCTTAGAGTGGTTCTATGGTTTATGTTAGCGGAGCAATCAGGTCGGTAACGGGTAATCTTATCACCAGCTAGTAATACAAATAAAAGTAGATATCTGTATTCTAATCTAATTATATTATAAACGCTATAATAACAACTAGCTATCTAAGTATTCTAACGAGTGATATAAAGTAAACTTATATATCCAGTCATATGTCCTAGATTATATAGAAAGCTGGCTTTCTTAGCTTTCCTGCAATAGATTATTTAAAAAGCTAGCTTTCCTAGCTTTCCTAGTCAAGGAGTGCTATTAGTCCTAATTAGTCTGTCGGTCCATAGTTAATCCGTTTCCGGCCAACCTATTGGCCCATTGTTGCAACCTTAAGAGCCGGGTCGTAATACAATTCTCCCCTCCTATTAGTCTTATCCTTAAGACCTGATTGGGGTAGTGTATAAGTATCCACTCCTATCCCGTTGGTAAGTGCCGTAATCCTTTTGTCTTTTACCTCTTATTTTTATTCTTTTATTATAGCTAATCGTAAGCGCAAGCGTAATAATAAACTTATTTTTAAGCGAAAAAAAGAAGAGCGTAAAGGCCTTGCTAATACTATACTAAAGAACTCTATCCTCGTTATAAAATTATACACTTACTGCGAAAAGCAAGGCTGCAATTATATTACCTCGGAGAAAGATTCCCATTAGTATTTTTCTTACGTTTAAAATTAAAAATCTTATTACAAAGTATTCAGTCTTACCCTGCAATAGATACGTAAGGTAGTAACTTATTATTTAAAATTAAATAAGGAGCTTAAAGAAGCAGAAGAGGTATAGCTTAAGGCTGGTGCCTGAGTAAAACGTCTTCGTACTTAAAAACGCAAGTAGTTAAAGCAGATAGAGCGGGCTATTACTCGTAGTATTAACAATTTAGAGGAATTAGAATGTATTAAGCGAGAGGAGCGAGAGGAGTAAGAGGCTTAGAGGGCGGAGGCCGCTCGTTAGGCTGTAATATTATTACCTAATCTAACTAATCCCGTAACTGCAGGTTCCGCGGTTAACGCTGTTAATTAGGACGCTTTTGACCCTTTTTTGCTAGACCTAGACTTCAGTAGAAGTTATTTATAAGGTCTTTTAAGTATTTAAGGTCTTTAATAGTTTACTATAATTTTTCTATTTTATTATAGCCTTTTTATTTTACTAGGTATTTAGTTTATTAAGTGTTTTTATTAAATTTTATTATTTTAAGTTTCTTAACCTCGTATTTAAGTTCTTCGCCTTAAATAACAATTTTATCCCGTATAACTTTGCCTATTTCTTTATCTACTAATGCTTTTTCTAATAGTAAAATATAGAAATTTAAATATATAGTTTTTCCTCGTTTCCTTAGGGTAAGTAGAAGATCTATTTTATAATTAACAGGTCTAATTTTCTTTGTAATTTTATAAGGTCTAAGTTTCTTAAAATCAAGTTTATCGCTTAGCCTGTTTATCTTAATATTTAGCTATTTATCGTTTCGCAAATATTAGAGCAGGTAAACTATATCTCCCTCTTTAAAGGTTAGTCCTCTAATCCTTTTAGTATCTGCAAATTTAACTATTCTTTATCTAACGAATTTAAGTTATACTTATAATTCCTAATGCAGTTCTTTAAGTTTATTAGCTATAATAATAGCTTTACTAGTATTTTCTCCTTTAATAAGTGGTTAGTGTAGATCTAGTTTAAACCCGTAGTTTACGTAAAACGGTAAGTAGTTCGTAGATTCTACTAGCGTACTGTTGTAGGATACTTAGGCAGTTGGTAAGTATTCTACCTAATTATCTTAGTTAAAGTTAACGTAGTATCGTAAGTATATTTTAATAATTTAGTTAATTCGTTCCGTTTGTCTATCTATCTGTAGGTAGTAAGCTGTACTAGCTTTATGTTTTAGTCCAATTTATACTATAAGTAATTGCTAAAATTTTAACATAAACGTAGATCCTCTGTCCGAGATAATCTCATTTAGTAGTCTATAGTTTACGTAGATGTATCGGAAAAAAACATAAGCTAAGTCTTCTATAAAGCTTTTCTCTTTTACTAAAATAAAGTAAGCCTTTTTTAAAAGTCGGTTGACTACTACGAAGATGCTATCCTAAGTATTATTAGTTATAGGTTCTTTTAAAGGTAGAAGCTTTACGATGTAGTTAAACGTTATTAACTCCCAATTCCTAACTAGAACTGGTAAAGGTTGCAGTTTTCTATAAGGAAGATAGCATAATGCCTTAACTCGTCTATATATTATACATTCTAATACAACCTTTTATACTTATTTTTTAATACCTTTGAATTTAAAGTATTATATAATCTACTGCGTGGTTTTTCAGATTCTACGGTATCCGTTAAGCTTATATACGTGAACTGATTTTACCACTTTACTTTGTAAGTCTTCTGGTACCTAGATAAGTCTATCTAGTATTAGGTATCTAGTATTTATAAAAACACCTTCTGGGTATTATTTATTTTCCCAGTTCTTAACGTATTTCTTTATATTATTAATAATTAAATCGTCTATTTTAATTTAGTATATAGTGTTAATTAATTAAATCACTAAGTTACTATACTAATTCTTTTTTAGTATTTATACTTTTACTTCCGGGATTTCTTAGAAGTAGTCTAGACGTCTGCTAAATACATTAGCGTATCCGTTATCTAAACTACTGTAGTATTTAATTAAAAGCTTAAACTTAAAGAGTTACTTATAATACTTAACTTATCTACGAGATAGTTCTTACGTTATTATAAAGTAGGTAATATTCCAGTAATCCATAAGGATTATTACTAAAAATCAACTTCCTTTACAGTAGTGTCTCTAATACTACTTACTAAGCGCTTAGTATATAGCCATAAACTCTTTATTGTAGATAGGGTATCTAAGTTCTGGTCTATTTAGTTTCTCTAAGAAGTAGGCAATAGGCCTAAGCTTCTTCTTAGGTATATCATCCAGTTGACTAAGTACTCCCCCAATCGTATAATCTAAGGCGTCAGTTTTAATTATAATAGGTTTATTTAGGTTAAACATCATAAGTATTAGTGCACTTGTAAAAGCTCGTTTAAGGTGTTTAAAGGCGGTTAAAGCGTCTCATATTAATTTAAATTTAGCGTCTTTCTTTATCAAGTTCGTAAGTAGCATAGCGATTTTTAAGAAGTCTTTAATAAAGCGTTAATAATAGTTAGCAAGTCCTAAGAAGCTTTACACTTACTTAACATTTTCAGGCGGCTTCCAGTCGTTAATTACCTTAAGTTTCTCGGGGTCTATTTAAACTTTACCTAGGGTAATAACATATCCTAGGAATGTAACCTTCTGCGTGTAGAAGTTGCATTTCTTAGGTTCTACCAGGAGTTTATTATCTTAAAGTATTTATAATACCTTTTTAATATATTTCTTATATTCTTCTAAGTTTTTAAAATAAATAAAGATATCGTTAAAGTATATAATAATAAAATAATCTACGTAGTTTTATAGTATATAATTAATTATTTTCTAGAATATCGCAGGGGCGTTAGTTAATCTAAACTATATAATATTATATTTATATAATCTATATCTGGTTCTAAAGGTGGTTTTCTATTCGTCGCCTTTCTTTATGTAAATAAGGTTATAGGCTTCTTTAAGGTTTAATAAAGTAAAGACTTTAGCTCCTATAAGCCGATCTTTAATTTCCAAAATCAGTAGTAACAGCGTAATATCTTTCTTAGTTATTACGTTTAATTATCGGTAATCTATAATAAGTCGAAGTTTACCATTTTTCTTAGGTATAAATATAACTGGGGCTCCTGCTAAAGATTTAAAAGGTTAAATATAACCTTTCTTTAGCTAGTCTCTAATCTATTTATTAAGTATCTTAAGTTCGGTAGCACTTAGGTTATAGATTTTATTAAACGTTAGGACTTTATTATCTATAAGCTTAATCTTATAATCCCATTAGCTGTATTCTAGTAGTCTAGTGTTAAGTTCTTTATTAAAGACTAGTATATGCTGGAGGTTTGTTGGTACGTTCTTTAAACGTTCCAGTATCTATTAGTCTCAGTAGCATAATTCCTTAACCTTTTGTATAATTAAGTTTAAAAATCTAAGCTGTTTTTTTTTAGGTTTTTTAATATATTTAACTGTTCTTAGGAGCTTCTTTAGCTCCTTAAATCGTATTTATTTTATAACTTTTCTCTTTTCCATATATTTTTGTATTTCTTTATTTAATATAGGGGTTACTAATCCTATCGTCGGGGATGTCGTAGTATTCTGTCGATCCTCCTAATCTAGTTATAGTATATCTTTAAAATCAATTAGTTTAGGGCGAGTTTACTGCCTTACCTAGCCTTTAATCTAGTTAATATCAGGGTTACGCAACTTAAGTTAATCATATCCTAAAAGTATATTATATCCTATAATATTTACAATATTAAAACTAAATATATCTTTAATTTTACTAAACTAGATCTTAAGGAAATTAGTCTTACGGTTAACAGTTCCGTTATTATAGGTAAATTATTACTTCTTAATACTTACAAGGGTATATGGTTTCTCCTTCTTACAATTATCTAACTGTAGGCAGTTAACTAGTTAAGGCGTAATATAGCTTATCGTAGCTCCAGAGTCTATATAGACTGTAATCGGATATCCTTCCAAGGTACCTGGTACTTAGAATTTTCATAGTTTCTTTCCTCCTGTAAAAGTATTCAGGTTATAGTAGGTTATATCATCGGCACTATTATAATAATTATTACCATAAGGGTTAATATTAATGTCATCTAGGTCTAAGGTAATCCATCCTAGTTCTTTATTTTAAATATTATAGCATTCGCACTAGGTATATCCGGGCTTAGGTATATATCTGGTGGTAAACTTATAATACTTCCGAAGGTCGTTCCAGTTAATTCCTTATAGTTCGTCATCGTTACCGTACTTCATAAGGTTAAATCCTTATTATTCTAAGTTATAGGTAATATATATAAAGGCTCGGCGTTAGTACTAGTGTTTCTTACAACAATCTTTATTACAGAGCATAAATTCTTTTTATCCATATTCAGCGGCTCTGTAATCCTTATACTATTTATTAAGCTTAATTATAATATATTATTTACATAGTAGTAGCTTATAGTTAATAATATTAGTTTTATTATATTAATCTATAAGCTAGATGTCGTTAATAAAGTAAATAGCTGATTTTAGTAATTTAACTACTAGGTATTTGTCTGCATTAGTCTTAATATATTATTAAAACCGATTTCCGGGTAATTAGATCCGGTCGTAGGCGGTACTTAGATTAATCTATTTAATCTATCCCTATTGTTTAAGGAGTCTCCGTTAATCCTTAAGTTCTTTTTATTATATAATTTTATCGTAGCGTTGGTTTTCTTTAATAATCTCTTAGATTCCGTATCAATCCTCGTGCTATTCCCAGTTGTCTATAGTTATTTTATAAAGGTAATATAATCCCTTAGGTTCAACCGATCTACACTAGTCGCATATATGTTTCTTAAGGTCGTTAATTTCTTCTTATGTTAATCCTTTAAGAGGATCTGCTTATACAGGGCTTACTAGTAGAGCAGTATCTAAAAGACTATTACAGTCTCCGTTTATTTTAAAGTGCATTTAGGTAACCTTTTTAAGTATATTTAAGGTTTATATACGCCCCTTAGGGTACTATCCTAATCCTTATTTATTACTACAATAAGTCTAACAGTTATTATTATAATATACTAAGAAGTGTAGTATATTATAGTCTACCGAAGGTTTTATAGTATTAATAGTTTAATTTTCCTTAGGCTTTAGGACAGGCGTAAATTTCTTATCGCTATCCTTTTTAGGGGCTTAATAATATTTCTTTATATATCCTTTCTTTCTACAGTTATAATATTTAACATTCTTACGTTAAGCCTTAATAGTACTAAAGTCTATTAGGCCTGGTTATTTATTATTAAAAGAGGTAATATAGTCGTTTTACTTCTTTCCTTAGTTAGCTTAGTGTCCTTAAGTTTGCTTAGGTTAAACATTATAGAAGTTCCTGTTTTTTTCTTACTTTTGTTCTTTCTGTTGTTCTTAATTGCAATTGTTAATCTTAATAGCTTTTTAGGTATAGTTAATAAAGGTTATCTTTTTACAGTTAATTTTAAAAAGTTTATCCTTAACTTTAGGTTTTACACTATTATAGTAAACTTCTTTCTTAGTTTCCTTAGTCTAATTAACTTTAGTTAATAAGCATAGGAAAGTTAAAGTATACTTACTTAATAGTCCCTTTTAAGTAATAAAATAAAGTTTTTACTTAGCTTTTTATTATTTATTTACAGTATTAAAAAACTTTTTAAATTATTCCTAAAATTCTGTATACTTAGTGTAGATTTCTTCGGTTTACGTTTTAAGCTTCTTTAAATTAATCTTTCCTTCTTTGTAATTCTGTATAATAGGTTAGAATTATATTTCAGCGTCTTCTGTAAGGCGGCTGCCTGCGAAGATGACTTTGTCTT